ATCCAGAGTGATGTATGATTACTCCCCAGTAAGTTTAGTGAGTAACAATTGCTACAAGGCCTTTAGTTATATCCAGAGTGATGTATGATTACTCCCCAGTAAGTTTAGTGAGTAACAATTGCTACAAGGCCTTTAGTTATATTCAGTGATGTATGATTACTCCCCAGTAAGTTTAGTGAGTAACAATTGCTACAAGGCCTTTAGTTACATTCAGTGATGTATGATTACTCCCCAGTAAGTTTAATGAGTAACAATTGCTACAAGGCCTTTAGTTATATTCAGTGATGTATGATTACTCCCCAGTAAGTTTAGTGAGTAACAATTGCTACAAGGCCTTTAGTTATATCCAATACAATATGCAATTGCTCATTGGCAACTTTAGAAAAGAATCATTGTGACATAAGGCTTGTTTGCTGGTGAATTTTGTAACGAATAGTTACGACTTTCAGTGTGATATAAGGCAGTGTATTGTTGAAAGTTATAACCTGTGTTCTTTTATAGAGAAGTTAATTTTATCTTATGTGAGCAGGAATTGTGTGAAATCTTTATTATCTGTACTTTCCAGGTTTCTTTGTTAGACCTGAAGTCTACCGAATTCGTTCATGTTCACAACAAGGCTATCAAGGACCTGGCCTTCCATAGCAATGATGCCCTTGTTCTAACCGCATCTCTGGACAGAACATTGAAACTTACAAATGTTATCAGTAATAATGTTGTCCAAACGTAAGTCTCTCTATAGTTTTATTTATAGGATAAGTATATAGGTAATAAGTTTGTCACACTAGCTGTCATTTTGTTTGTAAAGAAATATGTAGGTGTCAAGAATCTTGCTAAGTCTCTTAGTATGCCTCCCTACTGATGTTATTATATTAATCAATCGTTTGAGTTTCTTTGCTAAATCTTCTAGTATGTTTCCATAGTGATGTTGTTTTATTAATCAGCAGTTTTTTTTGTTATAGTAATTTGATAATCTAATAATGATAAAATAATTTTAATTTGTTTTGTCAAGTAGTCTATGTAATGTCCTATGAGTAGGTATAATGTTGAAGTAAATTACATATGTCGATCTGCCTATTCATAAATAGTCAGTTTATTTTGTGTCTGTACTGGAGATTTAATAAGATCTTTCGTATGTCCTTTGCGTCCCGTAACTGTTGCTGAATTTATCGTTTCTTTCAGATATCCCGGTTGTCATAATGGTTGATAGTCAGATCTCCCCCTTTGTTTTTTCCAGATATCTTTTGCTTCCTTTCATAATAACAGATGTCTGGGTAACTATTGTTCCCAAGTAACATCTGAATGCCAACGTACAACCTACAAATCGCAAATGATTTTTTCTTCGTATATCATGTGAACAGCTGGCGGATCAGTTCTCTCTTTCCCAAGTACATTAATTAGCGACCGACGGTCATGTATATATATATATATATATATTTTTTTTTATGTGAACAGCTGGGGGATCAGTTCTCTCTTTCCCAAGTACATTAATTAGTGACCGACGGTCATATATATATATATTTTTTTTCTCCCTAGATATCCTGTGCCTGCTGATGCTTGGAGCTGTGTATGGAGTAAAGATAATTGTTGTTCTTTTTATGCTGGATTAAAAAATGGTTCAGTGCTTCAGTTTGATACTCGGATGACCAATGGTCATGTTCATCAGCTTCCAGGTGCAGGAAATTCGTCTCCTGTTGTAGCTCTTCAATACGTAGAGAGTCGGCCTTGCGTTGGCTTAAGGTAGGAAGGTTTATAGGGATTCTACCTGAAATTGGTTGTTATGGTTATAGTGTTTATCTGATCTAACAGAAAAGTTGTGCTGAAGGTTTGGGAATGAGAGTAAATAGGTTGATAAGAACTGTACGTTTCAAGTTAGTTTCTGAAAGTAATGAATTTATGATAAACCTTGAATGTACAATAGGAGTATGTAAATCAATACCTATTTAAGAATTTGTGACTTCTAGTTTAAAACGTAAATAAACGCCTTATCAAGAACCGGATAAATAAGTATGTTTTGTACCAGTTTTTTTTTTAAATGTTTTAGTGGTATTTGTGCTGCATAAACGTTTTGGTATTGTTTCTGTTTATCACTCTAGTATGGGTGGTCTTTTGGTAGGCCAGCTATCAGCATGTTTTATGTATGAATCTAAAGCCGAACAAGAATATAGGATCCACCCTCTTCCAGTTGAAGGTAAGGAGTTCTTTTAAAGAGAATTTTATTTCAAAATCTTCTTTAGTATTATTACTTAGCATGTATCTAACTAAGGGTGTGTGTTTTTTATTAATGCTTGAAGAAGTTTTTATGAAATATGCATTATGGTTTCTGAGCAACTCAAAAGTAAAGCCAATACAATCTCAAGTGACACAAGAACTGATTACTATTGGTTTTAAATAATTGTCACAGAAGATTTTTTAAAGAAGAAAACATAGTATTTTTGTACTTTTATCATGTCTGGTTTTTAGAAAGTCAAGTATAGCAAGTCATGCTGGGACATTAACAATAGCACAGCCCTAAGGGGCAACCCTAACACTGATGACATTTGATTGGTCATTTGAATAGTCAGTTAATCCAATTTTTGTGGAACATAATTGCATATGCTTCTGGTTTCTAGACCTTAAGTTTTGTTCATTTCTGGTTTGTGTATTGATTTTGGTTCATTTCTAGTTTGTGTTTTGATTTTGATTCATTTCTAGTTTTGTATTGATTTTGGTTCATTTCTAGTTTGTGTATTGATTTTGGTTCATTTCTGGTTTGTTTACTGATTTTGGTTCATTTCTGGTTTGTGTACTGATTTTGGTTCATTTCTGGTTTGTGTACTGATTTTGGTTCATTTCTGGTTTGTATATTGATTTTGGTTCATTTCTGATTTGTGTACTGATTTTGGTTCATTTCTAGTTTGTGTTTTGATTTTGGTTCATTTCTAGTTTGTATTTTGATTTTGGTTCATTTCTAGTTTGTATTGATTTTGGTTCATTTCTAGTTTGTGTATTGATTTTGGTTCATTTCTAGTTTGTATTTTGATTTTGGTTCATTTCTAGTTTATGTATTGATTTTGGTTCATTTCTAGTTAATGTATTGATTTTGGTTCATTTCTAGTTTGTGTTTTGATTTTTGGTTCATTTCTAGTTTGTGTATTGATTTTGGTTCATTTCTAGTTTGTGTATTGATTTTGGTTCATTTCTAGTTTGTATATTGTTATCCCGAGGGCTTCTTTAAGTTTCCACTTGTTTATTACTCAGAATATTGTATTTCTTCCATTTAGTTTTATATCCCTTGTCTGAAAACCAAGAGGCAGGAAAAGTCTAGAGAATATATATAATAGGGCAGACTTCCTAAATCAGTACTTGAAACAAGAAATATAAAACTGTTTATTATTATTACTTATGTACTGTTTAAAACATTTTATTATACTGTTCTATAAACACAACATAGATACATGATAGAAAAAAATCATCACTGGTTTTTAAGACTTGTAATATCATAAATTAATATGTAGAATTATACGTGGACTTTTCTCTACGTTAAAATACTTTTATTTGCAAGTTATCAACCGTTGAAGGCTCCGGTAAGATGGCTAGAAGCTCACAAATAAAAGAAAAAATTTTTTACATGGAAAAAAGTCATATTATTTCACACGTATATTAAAAACTTACGTAAAACTGTGTTATCATAAGTACAAGACAATCTTAAAAATTTCTATAATGTAAAATACAGGAAAGCTTTTAGCATCTGTGCTACAAAGACTGTAAAAGTAATTTAACTGATGGACTGTTTTTTTGTTTTTTTACATAAAGAAACAATAATCCAATTTCATGAGGGGTTTTATTTCTTTGAATGGCTGTATGTTGATTACGGGAAAATCTGGTTTAAATTGTTTAGGAAACTTTACATCCCTTTGCTACGAGTCGTCAACCAACCATATTCTAATTTCTTGTCGCCCGTCTAATAAACAGCCACAAGTTACTCACATGGTAAGTTTTATATGAATATTCTTTTGTTAGATTTTGACTTTAACCTTAGAACCGGATTTCAATAGTTGAAAATATCCCCTTGTTAAGTTTTAATCGTAAAGTTTGGTATCGGTAAGTGTGGAATCAGCTTGTTAATTTTAGTTAGCTAAAGAGCAGCAATCTGATAACCAAGGGTTGGAATAGTTGTTCACACACAAGTACGATCTATGAAACCTCGGAGTCACAGGCTATAATTCCATTTTCTGATAACTTTCATTATGTATAACGTTTTTTTACAAATCAGATTCCGTTAAAAAAATAAACAAACTGAAATAATTAGTAATAAAAAGGAATTGGTAGCTTAGAAGACAAATTGCTGAAAATGGTACCCATGGAATTCCATTCCACTACACTTACAAGTGACTTCCAATGTTTTGTCGGTATCCAGTGTCTAAAGTTAATGACGAAGAGACATTAAAATACTATAGTCATGGTGGATATCATTATTGGGGGTGTTTGAAGACGTACATAAATCATGTTAGTCACACACACACACACACATCTGTTTATTTTGGTAATACATGGGTTAAAGTAAGTTTTTTATCTGTAGTTGAAACTTACTTTAACCCATGTATTACCAAGATAAACAGATGTGTGTGTGACTAACATGATTTATGTACGTCTTAAACTTACTTTAACCCATGTATTACCAAGATAAACAGATGTGTGTGTGACTAACATGATTTATGTACGTCTTAAACTTACTTTAACCCATGTATTACCAAGATAAACAGATGTGTGTGGTTAACATGATTTATGTATGTCTCAAACTTACTTTAACCCATGTATTACCAAGATAAACAGATGTGTGTGTGACTAACATGATTTATGTACATGTCTCTTGATTGTTTGAAGAAATATATCTGTGATATGAGCAGAAAATAACCAAATGATGAATTTTTACTTTATTATAAGGTCATGGGGCTAAATGCGACTTTATGTTAAGCTTGTGAGAACATAGTGTATTAATGTTTATAATAAAAGGGTTAAAGGAGTAACCTAGTGAGGTGATAAAAATGTAAATAGCAATAGTGAGACAGTAAATTTTCAGCCTATTATTTAGTAATGTGATGGAATATAATATCGTTATTGGATTTTTATGGTTGGGTTTTGTTGGTAAATTCTTTTTATAAAATTTTCATAAAATGTGTCTTGGATAGCATCACGGATCTGTGTTAGTGCTTTAAAAATTTTTCTGAAAGACTGTGTGGACTGCAGTAATTTGTAGTTATAAAGCTAGATGCTACTTAATAATGAAGTAATATTTTCTAAGTCTATTCTGCCAAAAGACTGGTAGTAACTTGTAGTTATACAGCTAGTTGACACTGAAGTAATAATAACTACGTTATAATTGAATCATTTTGAAAATAGCTCAGGCTTCTTGAATATTTACTCGGAGAAAAGTTTAAATTTTTCATCTTTTCTGAATAGGTGTGTCAACTAAGCTTGTCCAATGTTAGTAGTGATCCCACCATTGTGGACACTAAATGTGCATGTAATGTGGTTCAGGTCCTTCATGGTGGTCAAAAACAGATTCAGATCTCCAGATCTCGTCTATTTCCTAATCCGAAAGATGATACTTCCGTCGTGGTTTGTGGTGGAGATGAGAGTGCTAAAGCGGTAGGAATTTGTGTGATTTAGTGACACAGAGTTAACAATGAATTTGTGTGATTTAGTGACACAGAGTTAACGATGGATTTGTTAGAACCGTATTTTATTATATCTGCACAGAGTTAACGATGAATTTGTTAGAACTGTTATTATATCTGCACAGAGTTAACGATGAATTTGTTAGAACTGTAATTTTATTATATCTGCACAGAGTTAACAATGAATTTGTTAGAACTGTTATTATATCTGCACAGAGTTAACGATGAATTTGTTAGAACTGTTATTATATCTGCACAGAGTTAACGATGAATTTGTGTGATTTAGTGACACAGAGTTAACGATGAATTTGTGTGATTTAGTGACAGAGTTAACGATGGATTTGTGTGATTTAGTGACACAGAGTTAACGATGGATTTGTTAGAACCGTATTTTATTATATCTGCAGAGTTAACGATGAATTTGTTAGAACTGTTATTATATCTGCACAGAGTTAACGATGAATTTGTTAGAACTGTATTTTATTATATCTGCACAGAGTTAACGATGAATTTGTTAGAACTGTTATTATATCTGCACAGAGTTAACGATGAATTTGTGTGATTTAGTGACACAGAGTTAACGATGAATTTGTTAGAACTGTTATTATATCTGCACAGAGTTAACGATGAATTTGTGTGATTTAGTGACACAGAGTTAACGATGAATTTGTTAGAACATTATTTTATTATATCTGTCAGCATTTCGTATATATTTATATTTTCCAGAATGAGTCACATTTTGTGAAAAATAACACTAATTTTGCTTTAAAAATAAAAAGGGAAACTTAAAAAACATCTTCAGACATTTATATTGAAGCAACTAATGTTTATGAGTTTGTCATGTGGTTAATGTTTCTATAGTTTACTGTTGTGAGGCTAATGTTTCTGTAGTTTACTGTTGTGAGGCTAATGTTTCTGTAGTTTACTGTCATGCACTGACATTTCTGTAGTTTACTGTCACGCAGATAATGTTTCTATAGTTTACTGTCAAGCAGATAATGTTTCTGTAGTTTACTGTCACGCAGATAATGTTTATGTAGTTTACTGTCATGCACTGACATTTCTGTAGTTTACTGTCGTGAGGCTAACGTTTCTGTATATTTACTGTCATGCGGCTAACGTTTCTGTAGATTTAATCTCATGCGGCTAACGTTTCTGTATATTTATTGTCATGCGGCTAATGTGTATGTAGTTTACTGTCATGCGGCTAACGTTTCTGTATATTTACTGTCATGCGGCTAATGTTTATCTAGTTTAGTGTCATGCGGCTAACGTTTCTGTATATTTACTGTCATGCGGCTAACGTTTCTGTATATTTATTGTCATGCGGCTAACGTTTCTGTATATTTACTGTCATGCGGCTAACGTTTCTGTATATTTATTGTAATGCGACTAATGTTTATGTAGTTTAGTGTCATGCAGCTAACGTTTCTGTATATTTACTGTCATGCGGCTAATGTTTCTGTATATTTATTGTCATGCGGCTAATGTGTATGTAGTTTACTGTCATAAGGCTAACGTTTCTGTATATTTACTGTCATGCGGCTAACGTTTCTGTATATTTACTATCATGCGGCTAACGTTTCTGTATATTTACTATCATGTGGCTAACGTTTCTGTATATTTACTGCCATGCGGCTAACGTTTCTGTATATTTATTGTCATGCGGCTAACGTTTCTGTATATTTATTGTAATGCGACTAATGTTTATGTAGTTTAGTGTCATGCGGCTAACGTTTCTGTATATTTACTGTCATGCGGCTAACGTTTCTGTATATTTATTGTCATGCGGCTAATGTGTATGTAGTTTACTGTCATGCAGCTAACGTTTCTGTATATTTACTGTCATGCGGCTAACGTTTCTGTATATTTTACTGTTATGCGGCTAATGTTTATGTAGTTTAGTGTCATGTGGCTAATGTGTATGTAGTTTACTGTCGGGTGGGTAATGTGTATGTAGTTTACTGTCGGGTGGGTAATGTTTCTGTACATTTACCATCACGTGGATAATGTTTATGTAGTTTACTGTCACACAATTAATGTTTATGTAGTTTACTGTTATACACTCAGTGTTTATAGTATTTAAGGCTAAGATTATGAAAAAGAAGTCAGTTTTAAATATTACTCATAAGCGTTGGTAGTAACTTTTTATCTGGTCTGTTAAAATTTATGATTCCGTGTGGATTTATGTGGTTATCTTGCTAATTAATTACACTTTCATGCGTTAAATTGTTAGCTTCAATTTTTTTCTGTGCGACATAACCTGAAGCATGTGTTTTTAGTTTTGACACAGTTTATATACATTGAATTTATTACATTACAGATGTTTTAATTGCATAAACTAAAGGACATAATTTCATTTTTTCAGATATGATCTTTGAAAATGTTCAGTGTAGTACTAGGTTGTATGTTCTTTGATAGCTTATCCATTATTAAGTTTCGTGCATAACGGGTGTCTTGTCTATCCACCGTTCTTTCAGGCCCTGCTCTGGAATGTGAGTTCTGGAAAATGTTTTCAACGTCTTCAAGCCAATTCTCCGATTTTAGATATCACAACACTTAATATCAATAATAAGTTCTATTTGGCTACCCTCACTGAACGGATGTTGGATGTTTACAAATGGTCAGGTAGCTGAGAAAATAAACAAATTCGGCAAAAAAAAAACCCCAGAAAGCTGTTGTGTAAAAGTAATGTAAATATATATATATACTGCCCATAACAAATGATAATTAAACATCTTTATCACGTGACTTAATTATGATCCTTTTATAAATATCTCCAGAATCAATTTTTTTAAAACTAAAAGGAAGAAAGTTAAAATTCAATAAGAACACATACAAACTAGAGAAAACTTGGCTTTAGAATAATATATATATGTCAAAATGTGTATATATTTTTTTTAAAATAGTTTTGAATTTTATGGTTTCTCCATAGTTGAAAAACAAAAGGTACACAGGCTCAGTATGGTTATGCATCAAATATTAATAACTTGTATGAAAACACCTTTTTTTAAAAAAAAAAGAATTTGAAATAAAAACATTTTTTATATAGAATAAATTTATGTGAAATGTACCAGATATTTCCGTCATGTATATATTGGAAAATCTTCTCAGAAAATTAGGTTTTTGATGATGGTAATGACATTCAAATAAAACTATTATGGAGTGAATTCCTTGAATTGTTATAGTCTCTCTGCTTGCAGTGGTTCTTTTTATATGTGACTCTTTTGTGGGTGCTTATTTCTGATGTACTTGTTATAGAAAGCCACACCTTATTTTAATACAATTATCACAGTTTTTGGCTAGTCAGAATCCAGTACACTTCTTGATCTTACAAAATGACCTATTTGGATTTTCCACGCGAAAAAAATGGCCAAGGTTATAAGTGTCGTAATGAAAGGATGGCTGGAGAAGTTGACAATTCGGTTGGGACTGGTTGGGGGTAAGAAACAGAACTTAGTTTTACAGTATTGATTATGAACAAACAAAGGTAAAATAACCAGTAACTGCTCAGTATAGGGTGACACCTGTAGGGAAAGTCTCAGAGGACTAATTTACAAAAGCAGCTCAGGTAGAAAAGACGATGTTTCCAAAGGCTTTCGGATTTTGTGTGTGTAAGGTTTAAGGACGTAATACCCATCGAGAACAAGACAGGAAGAATACACTAGAGAGCTTATATTAAAAAAAAAAAAATCCGTGCTTGGCATACACCCAAAATATTTTCAATTTTTTCCCATTTTTTTATCCCTACATTTGGTGTAAACCTGGAAGTTTTAATTACAGAGTACGTCATTTTAAGTAGTCCGCTGGTTTGTGTTAGTTGTAATCAGAAACCTTTTTTTGCAATTAAAAATATTCATAGTAAATTCCGGTTTTTATTGATATTACTGTCAGGTTGGAGAAGAGATAGAATGTGCAGCCTTGAATCCGTATATAGTAAACAGTACAGTAAAAATAAATCGTGTATTGAACATGGAAAATGCACAATACATAATTATTACATAATGACATCTGAGGGTTGCGGGTTTGAGTCCTGTGACCGAACATGTTCGCCCTTTCTAGCCGTGTGGGCGTTATAATGGCACGGTCAATCCCACAATTTGTTGGTAAAAG